TTTGAATATGTATAGTAAAGAGTGTGTTGATTTTTCTACCAGAATGTATGGGGATATATTAGTGATTTAACTAAAAAGGGAAATATAACTTACGGGGAGAAGGAAATGTATAAATAAATGCTACAGCAGGGGCATAGAATAAGTACCCTAGAAGTGTAGGTTGTGGATGGGAGTAGGCAGGACTAAGGAAGATTTCGTAAGACTCTTAATGGTAGAGGGAAATTTTAATAGATAAAGAATTGAACAGGAAGGATTTTTTTCTGGGTTTAAGAAAACAAGTATGTCAAAGCTGTGGACTTGGGAAAGTGCAGGGCTTTTATTAGTTATTATTATTAGCTAGTAGTTTGATCGGAAGATAAGGGAGGGAGAAACAGAAGGGAAAAGTATTCTAGTACTAATTCAGGGGACGCCATTTGAATGACAGGCTATGGAACTTGAAATGGGTTCTCCAGAAGTTGTTAAAGGACCCCGCAGTCAAACAGAACTCAGTTTGAGGCCCAGCTGTACCATTTAGCTTTTGACATTGGGCAAGTTAGTGTCTTTACTAAGCTAATTAGAAAATTCATCAAGGAGATGGTTGTGAGGGTTAAATGAGATAATGCACACTGGGTACTTAGCACAGTGGATGAATGGTACATAGTAAACCCATGGTAAACAGTAGTTTAAGGAAAGGGAAAGGCAACAAAAACTTTTGAAAAGAGACATTCATGGTAATAGATGTGCTTCAGGAAAATTTATTCAGCAGTACAGTTGACCCTTGGACAACACAGGTAGAACTGCCTGGGTCCACTCGTATGTGGGATTTTTTTCCCCCAGTAAATACAGTACAGTCCTATAAATGTATTTTCTTCTCTTTATGATTTTCTTAGTTTAACATTTTCTTTTCTCTGGTTTACTTTATTGTAAGGGCAGAGTTTATGATACATGTATCATACAAAATATGTGTTTATCAACTGTTTATATTATCAGTAAGGCTTCCTGTCAACAGTAGGCTGTTAGTAGTAACTCTTAACCCCCATGTTATTTCAAGGGTCATCTGTGCAGAGTGAGTGGCAACTAGATCTAGACCAAGATAGGGGTGACTTGAAGTTCATAGAAAAACCCATGAGAGAGATAATAGGATGTTAAGGTAGTGGTATGAGAAGCTAGGGGTATATGTGAGATATTATGGAGGGAGAATTGATGCGGGTTGGTATAATTAATTATTAACATATTTAGGGGTATTACAGTTATGATTTGCAGTACTTACATTTGACCCTGAGGGACAGCTAATTTATCTGACAAGATTAGTCTGTCTCGTCTGTTTTATTTTTATGCTATTCATTTTTCAAGGTATAAATTAATATTTTATTATTAAAAACAGTTTGTCAAGGTAGGACATGTGGCTCAGTTTGGCAGCACATACTGAAATGGAAACTGGAACAATAGAGTAGAGAATAACATTTTTAAAATGTTATTTTTAAAATGTCACTAGGAAACTAAAATGTTTGTAGCTTAGTGTCAGTTTTCAAATTAGAATTTCCATGCATTTCTACCATTTCTCCACTTGACTCCCTCTCCTCCGCTGAGTATTTAGAAACTTTGAGCAATAGATGTTATGCTAGCAGTCTGATGTTAGAATAAACTTGTAGTCTGTTAATATATAAGTGAAATTAATTAATTACTGTGTCATTTTATGGAGCAGTCAGTTGAAGAGAAAAGTTGATTCTAATCATTTTAAAAGTAAAAGAATGATGTAATTATGTGATTTTTTGAAAGAAGTGTGTAGTCAGGGTGGTTTCAGCTTACAGGAATGTGGCTGACGTTGTATTGTGGATCCACATAAGGGTTCACTGATTTGGATTTTAGTTCTGTTCTATTGTAGCTCTGTGACTTAACTTGCAATGTCTGTGTATTTTCTGGAAAATGGAGATTTCCAACCTGCTTATCTTTCAGGGAATCTGGAGAGAGATCAAATGAGATAATGTGCTTGAATTTATCATGGAAACTTTAAAGCTTTACAAATATAAGCCATGAATATGTAAATTACTTATTAATTTTTATTTCTAGACTATTCTCTTTGGTTTCCCTCTCTCGCAGTTAACAGCCTGCTTAAAAATTACCCTTTAAAGTGGATTTTATCACTTCTCCACTTCACTCCACTCCACTTCACTTTTCCACTTCTCCCCATCTGCCTCCTCTCCCTCCCAAAGAGAAAAACCTTATTCTCTGAATTCTTCTGTTTAAGGCCCCATAATTTCTCGCAGGTTCAGTTGTCATGCTCAATATTTTAGAATTCTATTTGGCTACTGGTCTCCTAGTCCTGTCAAGTCATCCTTTGTAATAACCATTATTTGAAGTTATCCCTTTTTCGTTCTTTCTGCTACTTCCTTTATCCTCACATGCACAAAGTATTAAAACATTATCTCTATTGGCTGGCTGCTCTACTCACTTTTCCCCTGGTCAACTCTGGTTACAGTGTAGATATAACTTTCTAAAAAGCCAATTTTTGGTTCTTTTTTTTAAACTCAGAAACCCATAGTTTCCCATTGCCTACAGGAGAAAATACAAACAGTTTAGCTTAGCATTCAGAGTCAACTCTCACTTTATCGTCTATCTCTTACACTGGCTCTGTTCATTATCAAGACTGTTCTTATTCTCTAACTAGGCCATATATATTCCTGATAGGTAGCAATGTACTGGAAAGCCATATTACAAGTAACTTTATACCACATGTTTAAAAATCCTTTTCTGGTCAGTTTGAAAATCTTATAAATTACCTTTTGTCCTAGTACCTTTACAAAAACTTGACTAACCTTTTGGACGTACTTAATCTTTTATTACCAAGTTGTTAAGATGATAAAGGGGAGTTCAAGTAACCAACCATTTGATATCTTTGATACTGTTTGGCTTTTAACCAATTCCTGCTGTGAATTTGTGGTCTTGAATATCTGCAAAGACCTTCAACTTTGTGTTTAATATAAGCAAATGGAACATTTTCTCACTGAATTTAAAAATAAAAAGTCAGCAATAACTTTTGAGCTAAATACTTTACATGACTAGCCCAAATATATTTGAGTTGTAACTCATACTTACTTTGTTTTAGATATAGCTAAAGTTTCTTCTTTGAGAAGATGGTATATGGGCCATTCTTTCATTTGTGGAGTTTTTTATATGGTGTGAATATATGAATTGTTTTGAATACACAATGTATGTGAATATACATTCGTCTTTTAAAAAACAATTTTTTTGAGGGATGCCTTGGTGGCTCATTGATTAAACATCTGCCTTTGGCTCAGGTCATGGTCCCACGGTCCTGGGATGGAGCCCCATGTCAGGCTCCCTGCTCAGTTGGGAATGTGCTTCTCCCTCTCCTTCTGCCCATTCTCCCCGCTCTTGCACTCTCATTCTCTCTTTCAAATACATAAAATCTTTTAAAAATTAATTAATTTGAGTATCTTTCCAAGTGTTCATTTCTGTCACTTGTATATCTTCTTTCATAAATTGGTCAAAGCTCTTGCCCTGTTGTAAAAAATCAGATTTTTTTATTTAATGAATTGTAAGAGTCTTTATAGTGGTCATAAATATTTTGCAAATATTTCTCCCCTTTTTTAGCATGCCTTTTCATTTTCTGAACATGATCTTCTAGTGGGACATTTTGGGGTGGCATATTTTGCCACCCTTCAGTAGATTCTAAAAACTTTGTACAGTCCACAGATCTTAGCAACTGACTAGATAATATGGCTTGAAAAAGATCAAGATCTTGAAGATAGTGGTATAATTAACAACAGTAGGAAAGTTGAGGTCAGTTTGGGATATATTTAAATTGAGATTCCTGGTGGTATCTGTATAGAAATGTACTTTCTGTCCCATCAATCTTTATTTCTGGATCTTCCCACAGCTGACTTTTTTTTTTTTTTTTTGTCATTTAGGTCTCAATGCAAATATCACCTCCTAAAATAGGCCTTCCTGGCCTTCTTATCTAATGCTGCCCCTTCCAAACATCACTGTTTATTATAGTTTCCCTTTCTCTCTAGCTCTTTATCTGAAGTCATCATGTTTGTTCTTTACTGTATTACTCTGACGGAATGTAAGCTCTGTTAGGACAGCAGGATCCTCTCCTCAGTCCAGTGTAGCATCAAAATTTCCCCCTCTGAATTAACTGTGGTTCCTGTCAAATTCTTCTGTATCTTTTTGGATCCTTCTCATTTTCGCAGCATCATAAGCTATTCATAATATTTAAAATTGGTCCAGAAGTTGTAGTTAAAACAAAGAAAATACATAAACTGCATTTTTGTTTGAACCTTAATCTAGAGTTCAAAGGTATCATTAAAAATAATCTGCAGGGGCACCAGGGTGGCTCAGTTGGTTAAGCCACTGTCTTCCGCTTGGGTCATAATCCCAGTGTCCTGGGATCGAGCCCCTTGTCAGGGTCCCTGCTCAGTGGAGAGCCTGTTTCTCCCTCTCCCTCTGCCTGTAGCTCTCCCTACTTGTGTTCTCTCTTCATCTCTCTTTCAAATAAATAAATAAAATCTTTAAAAAAAAAATCTGCAAAGGGTCTTACCAGTTATGCTTGCTTCTTTTTCCTCACTGATTTCAGGTAATTTACACTGATTTTAATTGAAGCCTGTTAAATATTGGAGGAGATTGGGGTGCCTGGGTGGCTCAGTGGGTTAAAGCCTCTGCCTCCAGCTCAGGTCATGATCCCAGGGTCCTGGGATCAAGCCCCGCATCAGGCTCTCTGCTCGGCAGGGAGCCTGCTTCCTCCTCTCTCTCTGTCTGCCTCTCTGCCTACTTGTGATCTATCTCTCTCTGTCAAATAAATAAATAAAATCTTTTTTTTAAATAAATAAATAAATAAATATTGGAGGAGAGTAACATTTTTACTACTTCATACCAAGAAATCCTAGCCATCTGCAAACAATTAGGTATCATATTGAATTACCCTTTCTCTCTCACTCTTTTCCCTCTAAAAAATATGGCAGACCTTTACACTTGATTGTCTCTCCTCTGTTTTACAGAGTAAGAAAGTTAGCCTGAGTTCCGTGAAAAACCAGAGAAGAAAAACTAAGAGGATAGTAGACAAGTTCTTTCCAATTTGCATAACGTAAGTTCTTTTCACTATTCTTGGCCTGAATCTTCTGTTAGCTGACAAAGCTGTTTCTATGGAAACAAATAGTCCAACTTCTTAGAATGTCAGAGGAATGCTGATCACTTAAAATGAGACTTCCCAGCTGCTAGTCAAAAGGCACTGCTTGTGGGAGAAGGGGAGGAAGGATGAATTGGGGGGGGGGGGGGAAACTTGAGTTCTGGACACTAGTGTAGACTACCATCTTCATGTTTCCCAGCTGTCACACAATGGTTCTATTTCTTCATGTGGCATTTTTAGTGGGCCTGTATCCTTCAGGCTGTTTCAGGTCCCCCAGTCTCAATCTTTTTTAATTATTTGAAGCTTATTTAGCTTCCTTTTACCCCCTTCTCCTATAGCCAACTCACATAACCAAGGCTCTTTCTCCCCAATTGGTTTGAAGTTAGCATTGAAACAGCTTTGGCCTGCCAACCTAAAAATTTGTTTTCTTGTTTTTTGGACTATGTAAAGAGTTTTGACTTCTTTTTTATTTTTATTTTTTTCTTGGTTTGGGGTATGAGCTGGAACTCTGATGAAGATGTGAAATGTGGGCTTTTGAGGCATTTTAAAAACAATTTATAATTAGAAGGTTGAGAAGAGAGGAATAGAGTACTCTTAGGGCCAGGAACCTGTTACTCTATTATCTGCATAAGATGATCTTTTATTTACACATAAGGAGGTAATTCTCTAGATTTCCCAGCTTCTGAATTGTCAAAAGACTTTTTTTCTTTTCCTCCTTTTCTTTTGCTTTGTGTGTGTGTGTGTGTGTGTGTGTGTGTGTGTGTGTGTGTTTTGGAGAGGAAGAATATAATTCCTTTGGACTGCCACATTTTATTGATATGTATTGACTACATATATGATGTAGAATATTCATGGTTTGCCTGTTTAGGAATTATAATGAGCTGGATGCTGGAACTGTAGGACATAGCATAATATTTCTTTGATTCTGGAAAGACTTTTGAATCTTTTATGGCCCTCATGAATTAACTTGTGACCACTATAAAGTCTTTTGGAGTGTTGTTTGGTGAGATCATCATTTAATCGAGGTGGTCTGGAAAGATTTCTTGAAGGAAATGGGAACTTATGGTAGATCTTGAAGTCAGAAGATGAAAGGAGAAGCAGTTCATATTTCTTATTTCATAAGGCACTTGGGCAGGAAGAAGAAAGGTGATAGGCATAAATGAGGAAGCAAACTTTGAAAGTTTGTGTCGGAAAATAGTAAAAGAAAGTTTGGATTTACCTTGTGAGTCCCAACTCTGTTCTCTAGGCAATATGAAAGCCTTAGAGGTATTGGACATAGGAACGATTTACTCATATCCTTAATCTATGCATTTGTCCCTTGCTAGATATCAGGGCTATAGAGATGAATAAAATAGATCCTTGCTTAATAGGTAGATCATTTATCCATGTGACCGGCAGTCACCTTCAGATTGTGTCCAAAACTAAACCTATATTACCCTTCAATTTCTGTCCTCTTCTATCTAATTCTTCTTCCCCTGTGTTTTCCATCTTTTAAGGATATTTGCCATCTATCTAGTAACCCAAAGATAGTGGTCCTGGAGTCACACTTCCTATTATGAACCTCCCTGTTTGCTTGGTCCCTCTGCTGGACAATATCATGGATCCAGAGATGAGTCATTGTGGTTCCTGACCTTTAAGGGCTTCTGGTCTGATGGCACAGACAGACAGAGATACAAATAGCTGGAGTCTAGTTTGATCAGAGATCCGACAGGGACTGTGGGATTTCAGAGCAGTCACATAACCAGTCTGGGGGGGTCATGGAAATCTGGGGAAGGATGTATTTCAGCTGAGACTTTTAAAAGGAGAGTAGGCAAGGTTTAGGTCCTAGGCAGTCTGATTCTGGAGCCTGTTCTTTGAAACATTATGCTGTCTTGGGTAACTGGGAAGGTATAATGGCATTAATTAGAACTGAAAGTGGAGGAAGAGGATTAAGGAGAATATGAGGGGATTAAAGGGAAATAATGAGTTTAACTCTAGACATGTTAATTTCTAGATCCCTATAGGACATTTTGGTAGATAAGCTAATGGGCAGGGATCCTATCTCTAAAACCTAGTACTTCGCCAAGAGTAAATGCTCGGTTACATTTATGTACAAATCATTCTTCTTTTCTAAATCTTTGATGACTTGGTGTCTTGAGAATTAGGGACTTACGTTTAAGACCTTTTATAAGTTGGACCCAGTCAGACTTTCTAGCTACTATTCTCTGGGACAAGCTGACTACCTTAGTTCATCTAGCCTCATTTGTACGTTTCCCATTGTACTTCTTCCTGCCTTTTGTTTATACGGTCTCTTATTTCTCTGTTCTGTCTTCAAGACCTACTTCAGCCCCCATTCCTCGTCTACAAAACAGGCATATTGGGAACTACTTTTAGAGTAATAATGAGGATTAAATGCATGAATACTGTGTGAAGTGTTTACAATATTCTCCAGCAAGTGAGTGCTCAGTAAATGTTAAAGTTGTAAGTGCTGCTCCTTCTGCTACTACTACTACTTCCTCCTCTTCTTCCTCTTTCTCAGCTCTCCTCTTTTTGCTGTATGAAAGGCAGACACCAAGTTCTAGTAATTCTGTAACCTATATGTTTTTTCAACAAATAGGTCTAAGTCCTTAGCTCTTCAACTCTGTCAGTCTGCCTCCCTGCTTGCCTTTCCAGTTTTTTCATTATTCATATATGGTATGCTCACATTGTCCCATCCAGCTTTATTGCATTCTATTCTGTTTTCTGAAAGTGCCATATTTTCATACTCTTCATTATTATTGGTCATGTGATTCCCTCTGACTGAAACAAACTCTTCTATTTGGCTAATTTTTAGTTCTTTGAAATATCATTCAAAGAAATGTATCCTTATGTTTTGAGTGTTTGCTCTGACTTCTTACCACATACTAAGTTTCAGAGTCTATATGGTCTGTGAATTTCTGACATTTTTAGTTCAACAGATATTCACTGGGTATTCTCTATATGATATGTATTGTGTTGAGCACTGGGAGGTATAAAAATAAGACTAGACTCTTGTCTTTAATTAATTCAGAATCTAACGAGAAGAAACCAACTGGGGAAGAATAATCATTCATTTTCTTTGCTGTCTCTCCCAGTAGACTGTGAACACTTCAAGGGCAATGACCAAAATGGAATTTTAAGCAGATTAATACCAGGTTACAGAAATTTTTCTGAGAGTAAAAGACTAGGTCCAGAAACAGAAGCATGAAAACTCTGACCCAGATCACTAAGCCCAGTCTCTTTTGCATGAGCTGTAATTCCTCCCCTCCATGATCTATTATGGTGACTGTGGACAGAGCCTTACAGTTTTGAAGCTGAGAGTTTTAATTTCAGATCATAATTTGTAGGCTAGCATATAAGGTAGGAAGTGCATTATCCATTATTAAATGATTTTTAGTCCCCAGTAAATAATATAATTGGAAAAAGTTGAGAGCTATAATTTTCTGGAAATAATTTTTTTTTTAAGATTTTATTTATTTGTCAGAGAGAGAGGGAGAGAGAGCGAGCACAGGCAGACAGAATGGCAGGCAGAGGCAGAGGGAGAAGCAGGCTCCCCCCTGAGCAAGGAGCCTGATGTGGGACTCGATCCCAGGACGCTGGGATCATGACCTGAGCCGGAGGCAGCTGCTTAACCAACTGAGCCACCCAGGCATCCCCTGGAAATAATTTTTAAAATCAAAATTAAGTATAGGATTACAGTAACTCCCACATACATTTCTGCTTACTTATAATGAGAACATTAAATAAGCTGAATTTGCATAACATGTAATCAATATATAAAACTTAAGAACAGCCTAATTTAATTCTAATAGTTCTCATTTTACTGAAAAAGAAGGCAGTTCTTTATATACATATATAAATATATATGTATATAAATTTATATATGTATATATGTATGTATATAAATTTATATATGTATATAAAAAAATATATATATTTATATACTATACATCTTTATAAATAAGTTATCTGTGTGTAGATCACATAGTTACGAATAGAGAGGTTAAAATTTGGATACAAGACAGAAAAGTCTACCAAAATTCTTGTGAGAATGTAATGCCTAGTGGCTTATGTACCTTGTACCAATTTTCCTGCTGGTCTAGTGGTTTTCCTCTCAGTCTAAGTGGGGTTACAGAAGTCTGTGACAAGATGTTGGAGAGAAGATTGGCTGGCATTTAGGAATATTGTCTGAAAACTCAGCTTTTGCTGAGTTGGCATATGCTCTAGCCAACCTGTTTACTGAAGTGATGCTAAACTTAAGGAGGTGTAGTAGGTTTATTATTGTAAATATTTTTAAAGTCTTGAACAGAGAAGACTAATTGGATTTAATGTGTGGGTTTACACATGTATAAACAATCTGCCTACTTATACCTAAGAAATGGCTTGATGAAAAGCTGGTGTCATCCAGTAAAATATTTTTCTTGTCTAAAATATGTTCAAGTGGGGAGCCTGGGTGGCTCAGTCCGTTGGGCATCTGACTCTTGATTTCTGCCTGGGTCGTGGTCTTGGGGTTGTGGGATTGGCCCTGAGTGGGGCTGTGCAGTCAGCCTGGAGTCTGCTTTTCTCCCTTTCCCTCCGCCCCTGCCCCTGCTTGTGCAAGCTTTCTCTCTAAAATAAATAAATCTTTTAAGGAATAATGAAATATGTTGAAGGATTTTTAAAATAGGAGAATCAAGTTAATAATGGATTTTTAAAATAGAATCAAATTAATGCTAAGAATTAATATGCATGTACATATTTTTTAGTTTTAAAACTTGCATACGAGATATCTCACTTAAAACTCGGAACAAGCCTATGAATAAGTTTTCCAAAGAAATCCGAGGTTCAGAGAGAGAAACTGACTAGGCTTAAACCATAAAACCAGAACAAGTGGCAGCGGCAGAATTAAAATTCAGTTTCTGGTCTTTAAATCCAGTATATTCTTATTTGCTGTGACTTCAACATTTTTTGAGTGGTAACATACTACCATTTTCTCGAAATGAATCCTCATAAAGAATTAATTCTTGATTCTTTTATTATTGTGACTGGTTATAAGGACTGAAAACCCACGTAGTCTTTCTCACTTAATGTGATTTTATCCTATAGATGCCTTTGCTGCTAATTAAAGTTTCTTTTTCATTAGGTATCTCCTGCTTCTCATAAACTCCTAAAAGTGAATTTTCCCTGACAATGCTGCCTTAATCTCAACTGAGATTTCTTTAGCAGTTAACTAGGAAGTTATTTCAATCTCCTGTATTGATTATAAAGTACTGTGTTGAGACAACTATACATCTTTATACCTAAGCAACCTATTCTCTACCAGACAAGTACCTAAAACTTTCTTACTTCCCACTTGGTTAAACTTTCCAATACATAGTTTTTCTCAGCTGTAGAATTAAACAGTATGCTTCAAATTATTGGGAGGGTTGTTGTTGTTGTTTTTTAATACCTTGATTTTCTCAACATTATCTATAAAATGAAAGTACTTAATCTATATAGCCAAATATAATGTTGTACACTTACAAGATACTATATTGTGTATAGATTGGAAATGGGCTATGTAAAATCTACTTTTATATTTTAATTCTTATGCTTTTTTTCCCCATCTTTCCCCTTAGATTTCCTTCATGGATACATTTCATAGCATTATTATGTGATGTGAGAAGTTTTTTGTTTTTTTGTTTTTTTTTGTGAAGTAACATGGATTTTATACTACAGAATCAAGAGATTGGCTTTATAGGAGAAATTGATTTATAAAAAGTGGTACAGGTTTTTGTAGATAACCATGACAACATCCCATATGAATGGGCATGTTACTGAGGAATCAGACAGCGAAGTAAAAAATGTTGATCTTGCATCACCAGAGGAACCTCAGAAGCATCGAGAGATGGCTGTTGACTGCCCCGGAGATTTGGGCGCCAGGATGATGCCAGTGCGTCGAAGTGCACAGCTGGAGCGCATTCGGCAGCAACAGGAAGACATGAGGCGCAGGCGAGAAGAAGAAGGGAAAAAACAAGAACTTGACCTTAATTCTTCCATGAGACTTAAGAAACTAGCCCAGATTCCTCCAAAGACTGGAATAGATAACCCTATATTTGACACAGAGGAAGGAATTGTCTTAGAAAGTCCTCATTATGCTGTGAAAATATTAGGTAAGTAAGTACAGCAGTAAAATAGAAAATGCTTTACTTTCATTTCTCTTGCCTTAACATGAATATGTACAGGAAGGAAGAAGAGTATAATAGAATGTTAAGTAGTAGCAGTTTGAATTCAGACCAAGATAAGTTCTTTTCTTGCAAAGGCCATATAACCAATCATCATCATTGTTTACTTTTAATCACATAGAGCTAAAGCGTGTGGCTAAAATGTTCATTCACTGCAACATGGATTTTAGGTATAATCTTTGAATTAATAATTTCTACATGTGGGCTAACATAGCCTTGAAATTCACCTTTTATTTCAAACTCAAACTTTTATATCAAAATTACTGAAAAGCAGTTTCAGATTTTGAATTTCTGATTGCCTTGAAGTTTGTAAAATTGTAATGAAATTACTATCTGTAGCTTATAATCTATTTGGTTTTCTTTAATTAATGACTGCCAATAAGAAGAAGTAGAGCTGTCCTATGGCATCATATACATAAAACACGGCTCAAAACTTCCAGATTCCATTCTGTAGGACAAAAAAACCTAGCGCCATGAGTTATTAGTAGATATAAACAAAAATAAATCTGTGACCAAATAAATTTTGAGAACAATGGGTTAAATAAGTTAAGCCTCTTATTACAGGACTTCAGACCCTTTAGAGTGCTAATATGCATTATAAATCTGCAATGGAGATTCAAATATATGTTTCCAGACTTAGAATATTTTATCATTGAACTTACTGTCTTCCCTTCCTACACATAAATGCACACATGCGTACATACACACACACACACACACACACACACACACACAAAATTGATCAGTGAACTGGTGTTAGGGATATATGTTAATTTGTGTTCTCTTAAAACCAGGCTAACCGGGGGTCCCTGGGTGGCTCAGTGAGTTAAAGCCTCTGCCTTCGGCTCAAGTCATGATCCCAGGGTCCTGAGATGGAGCCCCGCATCAGGCTCTCTGCTCAGTGGGGAGCCTGTTTCCTCCTCTCTCTCTGCCTGCCTCTCTGCCTACTTGTGATCTGTCTGTCAAATAAATAAATAAAATCTTAAAAAAACAAAAAAAGGCTAACCAAAGTTAAGTATTCTATTTGGCATTTATTATTTATAGATGTGAAAATAGAGCTACTTCCACTTTTCTGTAGAAGGAGAGACTTTTCATTGTTGTTTTGCCATTCATTTAAGTGTCTATTGAGCTCTGTACTCATACCATCCTGTGTGATATCTACAATAATTCTATTAACAGGACTCTATGATCTCCATTTTGGAAATAAATTGAAATTGAGTTAACTCAGTGTTTAAGATTTCAAGCTAATAAGTGGTAGGGCCAAGTTTGAATTTGCTTGATATAGATATGCAGTTGGTGTACTTCAGAGAGTTTAAGAATGATGTCCACCGTGCTCTTCACTCACTGGATCAGAGCTCTTGCTACTAGGAATGGAACGCCTTTTTGTAGTTTTCCCAAAATACCATATATACTAGATTTGTTCCTCCCAAAGTCTCTTTGTTCTAAGTCTGAAGCAGTTTGTACTACATCCCATCATCATCTTCATTACAATTTATTAAGGAACCACGTTTCATGAGAGAAAGTAATGTTTATGCTTTTCTGTGTTTTAAATCAGATGTGTTCAGTGATAGTGAAGTCTGGTAAATGCCTTCAGGTATTATAACTATAGTGAAAACAGGGAGAGAGCATCTCCCTTGTTGTCCTACCCACCACTATCTTGCAGTGTATTCAATAAACTTCTCTCTCCTTTAAAAAGATAATTATAGTGAAAACAGAAAAAATATATATTTTCAAAATATATTTACCTGAAAGGATTTTATGCTCTATTTTCCAAAGAGTTTTGTTAGAGTAAAAATATTTAATTCCCAATTAACTCTTACTGGCCCTCATCTCCCACCACTCTGTTGTTTTTGTTTTTGTTTTTATTTATTTGAGATAGGGAACACAAGCAGGGCGGGAGGGGCAGAGGAAGGCAGTGAAACAGGCTCAGCACTGAGCAGGGAGCCCGACACAGGCCTGGATCCCAGGACCCTGGGATCGTGACCTGAGCTGAAGGCAGATGCTTAAACAGCTAAGCCACCCAGGCGCCCCTTCATTGTTTTTTATTCAAATATTGTTGTAAATATTCTCTGACTTGGAGAATGATTACATTGTAATGTATCCAGCCCAAGCCTAGACTGATTTTTCCTTTTTCTTTTTATTGGTTTTTGTTTAAATTTCCTTCAGATTAATGTATTTGTCCATTTGCTTTATTTAGATCAGGCAGAAAAATCCATCTAATAGATAATATTCATGTACCCTCAGTAAAGAAACAAATACATCTTAAGCCAGATTTGCTTTAGTGAAACTTTTTTTCTTGCCTAAGCACAGAAGATTGGAGACATTTCTCTCAAATTTTTTTGCTTTTTCTGATTTCTGTTTATATGTTACTTGTCTAACTTTCCTGCAAGTGTAGATTAAAGGACAGCTGTATTTTCTTCAGCTTTCAATCCACTGTGGTTTTCAAAAATACCTTTGTGCAATACCTTGAATTTAAGATTATTTTACGTATTTTGTTTTAGAGTAGTTCAAAATGTAGTACCAGCAGGGCAGTAGTTCAAAATATAGTTACTAGCAGGGCATCAGTAGCTGTCTCTGTAATTACCAGGTGCCACCCAGGTGCACAATTGGTTAAGTGTCTGACTCTCAGTTTCCATTTAGGTCATGATCTCAGGGTCATGAGATCGAACCCCCCACCAACCCTCTGAATCAGGTTCCATGCTCAGCACAGAGCCTGCTTGAGATTCTCTCTCCCTTTCACTCTGCCCCCCTCATGTTCTCTCTCTCTTAAATAAATAAGTCTTTTTTTTTTTAATGTAACAGGTGTCTGTAATTTAATTTTTGAATAGGGGGATACTTAATATTTTGAGAAATAAGTAATATATTTAATGTTGATAGACTCAACACAAATGTGTTAATTTTAGGAAACAAAAAGTTAAGTGAAAGTTACAGAGTTATTGCCAGTCAAAGCTTCATTTTTGGATGTACTGAGTTTTAAGTTTTCATTTTAAAATGAAGCGTAATAGCTTTGTACCAAACATTTTTTCCCTGTACAATTTGCTAACACATCAAACTACAACAGAAGTACTCCCTTAAAGTTATGTCTCCCTGCCAGCATTTTGATTAATAAACACATGCCAGAGGCAACTTCTCAGCCTTTTTCACAGCCAGAAACAGCCACCTTTGTTTTAAATGAGGAAAGGATGCAACAATAGATTTCTCAAAGAGAACCATCAGTTTCCAATGATACATCATCATTTATCTGTGAGTAGAGAAAATACTATTTTAAGAATTGAAAATGTGTTTGGAAGGTTGGATACCATGGGTAGTTGTTTTTAGTGAAAGGATTTATAAACTACGCACTGTTTAATAATAAAAATGCAGGGATGGAATTGATAGAAAATATTTAGAAAGGATGAACTGAACTTGCTTGTTTAAAAGCAGTCAGAATCTTATTAAAAGGGGCACCTGGGTGGTTCAGTCTGTTAAGCATCTGCCTTTGGCTCAGGTCATGATCCCAGAGTCCTGGGATCAAACCCCGAGTCAGGCTCCCTGCTCAGCAGGAATCTGCTTCTCCCTCTGCCCCTCATCCCACTTGTGCTCTCTCAAGTAATAAAATCTTTTTTAAAAATTTTAGAATCTTATTAAAAGTTAGAAACTGGTGTTTGAGAATTTAATTTCAAATAAATAATACTAATATTATAAATTATAAGAATTTTGATATATTAGGGAAGCTTTCCTTAAAATTGGCATGAGTTCTTAAAACTTGGCTTTGCTTCAGATAAATCTCATTGTCTTTGTTCTCTTTCATAAGCAAAACAAACTACTTTGTGAGGGAAATTCTGAGAAAATAACAAAGCAGGTTAGAGTAGGATGAAGTAGAGTAGAATCATTTTTCAGATACCTCTTGATTGCAGGTGCCACTGCTTTTGTTTTTGTATTCACATAGAAGTAGTTTTGGTCCAGGGTTACAGACAAGTAAATAGAATAGAATATTTAAAGGGAATAAAGGAGGAAACATTGTCATCTGTCACATATGAAGAGACCTTAGGAAAGGCATATCCACCCATCCATACACACCAGTAATGAGCTATCTGTTTTGTGGTTAATAAGGAGACCCTTGAAATTTGTGATTAGGGGCTTTCTAATTCATACCGGATGCTATTAATGTGAAGATAAAAGGTACCCCAAGGGGCAGAAAACTAGGGTGAGTAAAATACTTCATTATATTAATTAATAGCATGTTTCAGTCTTGATTAGTGTCTACATATTTTTGCCATGTCTCTGAATATTCAGAGGTAAAGTCAGTAATAGTATTCCTGTATTTGATGTCACAAAGTAAAATACATCTTCCAGATTTCTTTCTCTTACTAACCATGGGATATACTAGAATTTTGCTAGACTGTGATAAACCTTTTTAAAGATTGGCTTTCAGTAAAGTTTATTTAAAGTCAACAAACACAATTCCAATGCCAATAAACCTTGAGTTCAGCTTACTTCTGAAAAGCTAGTAATTATTATTAAATTTTTCCTCAGCTGCTATAGATGTTTCCAAGCTCTTTTAGTCATTCTTTGAGGAACTTTATTTTCCTGGGAGTAGCATAATAGACTTATGGGTACCAGATTTAATGTTTAAAATGTTGGGTCTGTTTGAAAATTTTCTGATTTGTTCAGATTGCTAAAATTAGAGCTAATCTAGAGTAAAGATTAGAAAATTAATTATAATATATGTAGTCATGTAATGTTTGGTTGTTAAATGTGCATAATTCTACTGAGAAATAATTAACTGCGATACCAGTCTTCGACACATTGCATCAAAACTTCATTCTACTTATTAAGTAATAATTGATTTTAGCTTTTGCCCTTTTGCAAAGACTTGCATCATTATATCATGATATGTTCAGAAGTGCAGGACATCTTTCAGTATTAGAAAGGGATGTCCAGAGTCA